AAAAACAGGTGTCATGCGGAAGCTAGCAAAGCAAACCTTGAACGACGATAAATCATACAACAAAGAGAAATCTACCAAAAGAGACACAAACATTTAATGTGGTTCGGTCAACTTACCTACGTCCACAGCGGAGATGGGCAATCCACTATAATAAAGAGAGTACAAAATATCTAGAGAACAACCTCACGAAGAGGCAAACACAAGTGACACACTAATACTTGTCCCGTAAAGTTCTCCCCGTGAACACGACTCTCAAACCCATATGGCTACATTGTGGATGCTACTGAATGAGAGGACGGATTTTCAATTTATAGAACTCTAACCCTTTTCCTACAAGAAAAAGGACTATCCAAATATGAGAGATTTGTAATTTCCTTCTACAAGAAGAAAAACCCAATTAAGATAATTATATTGCCCTTTTCCTTCAACAAATAGGAAAACCAAATATGGTAAGAAAATTATGGCAAACACCTAACAAAGGTATCCATCTTAAATTGGAAATTACAATTTGACGAAATGATAATCTTACACCTCCACCGACCCCTTCCTTGGAAGGCTACTCGGCATTTTAGTTTTACGAAGATTCCATGGTATGCTCCTCTATGAATAAACAGTTTGTTCTCTTGGACTAATTTTCCCCCTTTTAGATCTGGATTTCATCATTAGAAATGAATTGTCTTTGCGATTTCCCTTCAGCCATCCTCAACTTGTAGGTACTCTACTCGAGCTCTCAAAGGACGAGGGATTAATCACAACCTTAAACAATTCAACTTTGCTCATGGAAGCTTACATATTATAGTTGTGGATACAGGATTGTATTTGGTAAACCCCTTATTTCTTTTATCTATTTAATTGGCTTTCTGTGCCTGTTAGCATTATTGGTGTCTCTGTGAATTATAAATGAACTGCATTTTTGCTTTGTATTTTGTTGCTTTGGTATCTTTACTCGACCATTAATTGATTGCATTATTGAACAGACATATGGTTTCCACTAACTGATAGTATTTGCAAATGTGATTCTTGTCATTTGATTAGTATTCACTTTCAACTTCTTTGTCGCTTATCCGTCAAATCAGTATAAGGTTATTGAATAATACTGTCAATACAACAGTTAAGAGTTTCAACACCAATATATCAGATAGCTTCTCAAATCTTAGCTCGCCTCATATTTGATAGGCTTATTAACTTTGCCAAATTTTGGATTGTGTTAGATTCGATAATGTTATAAGTAATTTTGGATGAAAAGGGGTGGTTGTGATGCCTCCTACTATGGCAGTTAGCAGGGTTCTATAAGCACTTTCGACTGTCTTCTTTGACGTTATTTGGCTTTTATATTTTCACTTGGCATTATACATACAGCCAGGAGTTCGTTCATATTCAAATTCAGAGATTTTAACTTTTTAGTCAACGTTGAACATTAATGTGAATTTGCGAAATGGATAAATATAGAAGAATGAAGAAAACGTAAACTGCTACAATTATGAGTGCAGAAATGGCTTATGACCTATTGTGTACCATAGCTACCTCATTGCCTGGATTCTGTTTCAGCCTCTCCCCCAGCTGATTCTTTGTCTTGCTTCATCTTTTTTTCCGTTGGATTGGAATTTGGTTTTCGAGAAAATAAAAATGGATCTTCAAGAAAACTGCTTTATCATGCCTATATTTAACAAGGCTGAGAAGTTGGTTAGCCTTTTGTTGTCGAGCTTTCTACAATAAAATTTCGACTTTATTTTTCTTCTTGCTAGGTTACTTCAAATGGTGCTGGAGATAGGCAATCACAATTGCTGAAGGACGCACTTGAAAACAGTGAAAGCAAATGGTACATTCAAGCTACATTATTTTTCTTCAAACAAAAATATGATAATGCATTTTGTCACCTGACCTCCTTATGTGACTAAAGTGATATCGTGTAAATATTGGTACATTGCTGTCGGAATTCATCCATTGGTAGCTTGCGAAGAAGATACTACTCTAACGGAACAAAATCACAAATTACAATCTTTACATGGCGTATTCCTGATATACGGAGTGGTAAGTCAAAGTATTAATGCTAATAGTCCATATCTCCAAGAACGTGAGGAATACCTAATACCAGACACCATTTTCATCTGCAAATCTTTTTCTCAATATCCAAAAAATCTAAACACAGCGCAAGGGCTCTAATTTTGTAGTAAGAGCGCAACACATGGTGTACATTAGGTGAACGCCACAGGTTCGAATTTTTCTGAAGATAAACGCTCGGATTTTATGGGAAAAAGGGTAGAGGGACGGGCACATTATCTAATGAGGTTCGAGCCATGCGCCACTGACCATTGGGAATTTCTTGTTTATAAAAGAAATTTAATTAACCTATATTGTTCTTGTTTTGCTTTTCCTATTTAGGATGCATATATAAGTGGACAGGCTTGTGCTGATAATACTGAGAAAAGGCCTATTGCAAAATCCAAAACTGGAACTGTCAGATATAAAGGACCTTTGCTGGCTGAAGTGAATCAGAACTTGCCCTACTCTATGTGAGTATTTCTATTGATATTCAGTAGACTTTTTAGACCAAGTCTACCCTTTCTACTACCATTGTATACATATTCTCTTCATTTTTGGTTTTCTTAGGCAAAATATAACTAGATTCCTACTTCACGAAGTCGGTGCTCTAGAGATTGTGAGTATCTTGCATCTGGTTCAATATTTTACATAAGCACCTTATATTATGTTGTTGATGTTATAACAATTAGTATTTTTAGCAGGTATCCTACTTAGTCACCTTGGAAGGTAATGTTGTGCAGAAAATTTTCTTCTATGAAAGAGGCAAAGAGATTATGTAGATATACCGTGAATATTGATGTTTGTATTTGTTATTGTCATGAGAAGGAGTGAATAGAGATCCAATCAATTATTGGTGATGAATCCAACTTTTTTCCTTCTTTGGAGTAGGGGGGGGGGNNTAATTAGGATATTTAACGCACAATTTGCATAGGAACTATTTGGTGACCCAAGCATTAAACAATAGTGCACAATTAGGCACTTGAGCGTACGTAAGTCTTACAAAACTAAACTCCACACGTGAAACTCATGCCATTTTACAAGTGCCGCACCCAAAGGCCGGCGAGTCCTAAAAAGCCTTTTAAAATGTTGATTAATAATAAGAGAACTCATCTATTCTGTGGGAAATTATCACAATACCAAAAAAATATAGTATTAAATAAAAATAATATTTTTTTGATTCTAGACAAACAATGATTTACAATTAATGTAAATGTTGGTAATTATCGACTAATAATACGACATTTAAAATAAATATCACAATCTTTTTGACATTTTATATCAAATGTCAGTATTTTTATGACATTTTGCATCAAATGTTATTATTTTTATGACATCTAGTACAAAATGTGATTGTTTTTACGATATTTTGTATCAAATGTCATTATTTTTACAACACTTTGATTCAAATGTCGTTATTTTTACTATATTTTGTCACAAATGTCGTTATTTTCACTATATTTTTTCATAAATGGCGAGATTTTTTCCCGACATTTATTACAAATGTCACTAAATAAATATCGTCATATCCTTACTTTCTTGTAGTACAAGTGTCATAACATTAAATTGACACATGTAAATATTTTGGACAATTCTCCAATTTTGTTGGAGTTTCAAATTTATTTAAAAAAAAAAGTAAAGACACGTCTTTTTTAGAATTTTTAAATTTTCAAACAATATAACCCACCAATAAAAACCACCAACTACTCCCACTTCTTCCATTTCCCCCCTCAAATAAAGTCTTTAAACTTCAAAAGCAACAGTAAATAAAAAACTTCAATGATCAAATTACTCAATACAATCGTAAGAAAATAGAAAACGCAAAGGTAAAAAAAAAAACTGAAACAATACCCATTATGGACTATTCATGAACACTCTCTCCCTCATAAAATGATTCTACCTCCTATTTTCCATAATTACGAAACTTTGTTCCATGTGTGGGCTTAAAATTTCGGCAATTTGACATCTCTCGCTCAAGGTATCCATAGTGATTCTACATTCGTGCCCTCCAGAGTTCAATTTTGAAGTAAATTTTTGAATTGCAAAAAGTTCGTCTTCAAAATAGTCGGTTCACAATTTCATCCAGAAAATGTGCTCTTTTTTTATTTGAAAAATTGCAACTTCTGCATTTTAGTTTTAATTAATTTACTTCTAAGTACGTTTTGTTTGTTTTGTATTTTTGCAGTATTGTTCACAAGGAGGATCTGTGAGAATTCTTATAATGTGATCGATGAAGGGAGTATATATTCAGTAATGAGGTAAGTTCTATTTTTCCTATTTTATGGGTATTATTCTCATCTAATTTGGGTATTATTCTTCTCATTCTATTGAGTTTTATGGTAGCAACTTTTTTGGATCTTCTTCTTTTTCTTCTTTTGGACTAATTCTTTGAACACCTTAGAGGAAATCGTCTACGCTACTATTTTTACCATTGCGCGAACTGCTAAGACGATGCTTCTACTTGCGGAACAAACTAAAAGAAAATGCAATCTCAAAATGTCCATCCAATTAACCTTCTTTTGGAAGAGTCTACTTCAATTCAACGGTGAAAACTTATGTTATTTCCTATCAACATTGATAAGACTCATAAAACATATTTCCCTCTAACTTTAGTGTAGATATATAAAAGGATAAGAATACAAATGGGAAGGAAAGGTTAATTTAATTGCTACTAAAAAATAATTCAGAAATAATAATTATTATGATTATTAGTAGATTTATGGCATATAATTAAAAAACTTCTATGCTTACTCTTTGAATTAATTCAACATCATTCATTTAAAAAAATAATACAATAATATCTTTATTATACATATACACTAAATGAAAAAAAATTGATGGACATAAACTAATGTATAAGGAGGAGAATAGATATAACATGATTTTATCCACAATTTAAATTTATTTGATAAAATTAAGTAAACAATAATACTCAAAAAAGTGTTGATACATCAATAAATAGAGTAGTTGACAACGATATTAAGCCACGTGGTACTTTCAGGACAGAATTTAATAAAATTTAGGATAAATTCTAATAATATCTAGAATAAAATATAATAGAAATTAGCACAAAACCTACTAAGAATTATCAATAATTTTTTTTGAATTGAGTAGTTTGAGATTATGCCATGTGGCAAGCTAATGAAACGCTACTTGATAATTTTAAGATAATATATGTTAGACTATGTAATAAAAATAAATTTGAACTGAAAGATAAATTTTTGAATTTATAGATAAGTATTTTGAATTGGATTGAAATGTAAAAATTAATTACATATATTTTTATTGTTTGGGTACTTTCATTGAGAGACGATAACTATAATTTTGTTATAATGTATTCAAACAAATCAAATCATGAATGTTTGATATGATTAATATTCTTTAATAATGTTCGCGCATCCCGCGGGTAGTAATACTAGTATAAAGAAAACCCAAAAATGAATAGAAGATCAATTAAGAGTATACACGCAATCCTAAGCTAAATAGATACTCGACTCCAATCCTAGCTCCCTGTGGATTCGATCCCAACCCACAAATCGGGTAAATGCTATTGCGACCCTCTCTCGCTACTTTTTAGTGGTGCTGAGTTGGCAGCGATCAGGAAACATGTCTTGTTAACTTTTCTTATTGTGCAAAAGATGTTTGGCTTGTGAACTTACTACAGAAATACATGTTTACAACTTTATCTGACAAAAAGGTATCCTTATTAAATTGGAAATTACAATTTGACGAAATGATAACCTTACACCTCCACCGACCCCTTCCTTGGAAGGCTACTCGGCATTTTAGTTTTACGAAGATTCCATGGTATGCTCCTCTATGAATAAACAGTTTGTTCTCTTGGACTAATTTTCCCCCTTTTAGATCTGGATTTCATCATTAGAAATGAATTGTCTTTGCGATTTCCCTTCAGCCATCCTCAACTTGTAGGTACTCTACTCGAGCTCTCAAAGGACGAGGGATTAATCACAACCTTAAACAATTCAACTTTGCTCATGGAAGCTTACATATTATAGTTGTGGATACAGGATTGTATTTGGTAAACCCCTTATTTCTTTTATCTATTTAATTGGCTTTCTGTGCCTGTTAGCATTATTGGTGTCTCTGTGAATTATAAATGAACTGCATTTTTGCTTTGTATTTTGTTGCTTTGGTATCTTTACTCGACCATTAATTGATTGCATTATTGAACAGACATATGGTTTCCACTAACTGATAGTATTTGCAAATGTGATTCTTGTCATTTGATTAGTATTCACTTTCAACTTCTTTGTCGCTTATCCGTCAAATCAGTATAAGGTTATTGAATAATACTGTCAATACAACAGTTAAGAGTTTCAACACCAATATATCAGATAGCTTCTCAAATCTTAGCTCGCCTCATATTTGATAGGCTTATTAACTTTGCCAAATTTTGGATTGTGTTAGATTCGATAATGTTATAAGTAATTTTGGATGAAAAGGGGTGGTTGTGATGCCTCCTACTATGGCAGTTAGCAGGGTTCTATAAGCACTTTCGACTGTCTTCTTTGACGTTATTTGGCTTTTATATTTTCACTTGGCATTATACATACAGCCAGGAGTTCGTTCATATTCAAATTCAGAGATTTTAACTTTTTAGTCAACGTTGAACATTAATGTGAATTTGCGAAATGGATAAATATAGAAGAATGAAGAAAACGTAAACTGCTACAATTATGAGTGCAGAAATGGCTTATGACCTATTGTGTACCATAGCTACCTCATTGCCTGGATTCTGTTTCAGCCTCTCCCCCAGCTGATTCTTTGTCTTGCTTAATTTTTTTCCGTTGGATTGGAATTTGGTTTTCGAGGAAATAAAAATGGATCTTCAAGAAAACTGCTTTATCATGCCTATATTTAACAAGGCTGAGAAGTTGGTTAGCCTTTTGTTGTCGAGCTTTCTACAGTTAAATTTTAACTTTATTTTTCTTCTTGCTTGGTTACTTCAAATGGTGCTGGAGATAGGCAATCACAATTGCTGAAGGACACACTTGAAAATAGTGAAAGCAAATGGTACATTCAAGCTACATTATTTTTCTTCAAACAAAAATATGATAATGCATTTTGTCACCTGAAACTCCGTATGTGACTAAAGTGATATCGTGTAAATATTGGTGCATTGCTGTCATAGCCTTTTAACATTGTATTAATTTTTATCACCGAGATGCATATCACACAGCAGGAAGTGACAAAATTGAGACTATTTTTAACAGATATAGTTACCCCAAGGAGGAAAATATGGGAGGCGATTCATAATGTCATGGTATGTTTTCAAAAAAAAAAGTCGCTTTGACTATTAGTTTTTGCATAAGTGACATTGGAATCAACTGAATACCTCTGGACTTTCTGATCAATTTTTGTACCTATAGGGAGAACAATTAGGATAATTTTTAAGGTTTTTTTCTTCGTATTATAACATCCGCGCAAAGGTACTTTTCCAAAGGTAAAGCTTCACTAACTAAGCGGGAAAATCTAACCAAAACATGACCCGAAGTGAAATAAAAGAAAGTGGACACCGTGAGACGATACCAAAAATAAAAAAGCGAATATGTCAAGCCAAAGTTTTTGTTACGCACATAAATCAGTTTACAAACAAAAAATAAACAAAATAATTGTACAAAAGAAAATGATGGACAACAGCAACCATTAGCAGTACAACGGGGATGAGCAACAGTGAATGTGTTAATATGACCCAACGTGTACAAATATACGAAAATAAGATAGTTGGCTACCTTACAGTGCTGAATTTCTTCTGCAAGTATGTTGGTTGTACTGAACGTAAGAGAAACGTCAACAATTCTACAAAAACAAAAAACAATTTCAGTCGTGGTCAACATACAGAA